TGTTATAGCAACATTAGGTAAGTAAGACAAGTCCCATTTTTATTCTCATTTCACAGATGAGAAAACTGAGGCACAGAGTGGATATCTAAGGTGTCCAAGGATGCCCAATGGGCCAGGGATGGAATTGGGACTTGGGACTTATGGTTTGGTTCGAGAGCTTGCATCCGTATTTCATTTCATTATCACATCAGCTTTATGAGGAAAATAGTAATAGCCTCATTTTTATAGCTGAGATTATCTTGATACAAGTTAAACTGATCCAAGGTCACAAACTAATACAGAAGTAGAACCAGTATTTGAACTGTCTGTCTGACTCCAAAGCAGGGATTTCTGGGTCCTTTACAAGGATTTCTGAATCCATGCAGATGGGTATCCTTCAGATGGGTTCTCATGTGTTCACTTCAAGGTTCCTCTCTTCCTTCTATCAGAGCTTACAATCAGGGCTAAAAAGGTCTGCTACCGTCCAGACTATACATCTCTGCCTAGTATTAGTGAGTAAGTAAGTTCAGTGCTGCCATTGTCTTGAAAGTGTGTCGCATTGGCCCTCTCCTCTCGTCCTAGATCATTTGCGGTTTCCAAAACTCTCTTAGCTGGGGATGTTTTTGTTGCAAGTAGCAGAAAATTCTGCTTGTACAGGTTGAAATAATAAAGGAGAAATAATTGGCTTATGTGACTGAAAAGCATAGAGAGAAGGTGCAGCTCTGGGCATGGTTTGGCTCCGTTTCTCTGTGATTCTCTCAGCTCTGTCCTTTTATTTTCCATGCATTAGTTTTTGTCCTTGAATTGGCTTTGCCATTTATGGCAGCAAAATGGCTGCCAGCAGCCACAAGGCTACATATTAACTTTACCATAGTCGTTAAACAAACATCCTGGCCTATGCTCTGATTGGATCATCTCAGGTCACATGCTGAGCCAATCACCTTGGCTGTGGTGATGATCACCGGGCAGGGATGACTCCTCTCCTGTATCTCTCTTTCCTCTCCTTTAGTCTCCAAATCCAAGTGGGTTCTTCTGGAGGAATAGAAGAGATGCTGAACCTAGTATCAAGCCTGACATGGGGACGAGTTATATATACTTACAGCCATATTGTGCTGTTCACACATCTTGCATAGGAAACATATTTAAAACAAAGTGGCAAGAACAAAATTACCCCAAAGAGACCCTCACATTCCTTGAGTTGACTGGCATTAAGGCTGCACCTGTCACAACAATCTCTGTGGCACGGAGTGTTCTGCATAGAATGGAAAAAATGCTTTCACATCCAGAAACATTGTGGATCAGATTAAGAGGGAGCAGTTCCAAGTGGGAAGTGAGGTACCGAAGCTATGTTGGGTGGGAGGACTTGCTGGAACATTTTCAAGTGGGCATAATTTTATTCTAAGCTCATCTATATATATATTTCCCCCTCCTGCAGTGAAATCCTGCAGTGACACGTTCTTTTCAACTCTTGTCCTCCAGATCCACCTTCCCATTAGAGAGCTAAGCAATCACTGTTGTAGCTGCCATGCCTCTCCAGAGGGGCTTCTCCTTTACTTCACAAACTCTGGGGGGACCAGAGTTTACTTGTAATAGACAGGGGTGCTGAACTGACTTGACTGAGGGCTTAGGAAAAGCATAAGGGAATTAATTCTACATGAAGAGGAACTGGGTATTAGGCCAGGCTGCTCTTAGCCCTGGTCTTCCTCAGTGGGTCACTGGCAGAGGCCTCTCTGTTCGGTGGCTCCTGCCCCCTAGTGGCAGAAGCCATTTTCCACCGTTACCTCAGGTTGCTCTTGTGTGCAAGTAGGCATTTTGCCCAGGATCTAGACAGTCCCTTTTCTCCTCTGCCCCTTCAGTCATCACTTTATACCTCAGAACCTGCCTTTTCCCTAGATGATTAATAGGGATATGTCCAGCCCCTTCAGGGACTACTCCTCTTTCCAAGTCTTTTCTAGTCTAGGCATCTTCTAAGCTCATCAGACCAAAATAGTCCAACATCAGTAAAACAATGCATGGGTAGCCCCAGGACAACTGGCTCCTTACATTCTACTGCTATTTGCTAAATGATAAGATAACCCAGGAAAAGAGCAAGACTTGGCATCAAGAATCTGTTTGCCAGTGGCAGAATTATAGGCACCAATGACATGGCAAATTTGGCATTTATGGTAGGGGAAGGGCTTACACTCACACAGATTGGCACTAGCTTCAAACAATAAAGAATGTTTGGAAAGCAACATTGCTAGACAGACCAGCCTAGCTGTGTGGTAGAGAAATATTCAGACATACCTTAGGTATGAGTGTATGGCTTAAAGCAATAGACACTCTGAATCATGGTGGTGTCCATGAATCACAGATCAGTCTAACACCATTTATTCCATACCTCTTGATGCAGCACTTACCATGTTCCTTAGCAGAGGCTGCAATGATGGGGTCCCTGCTTTCTAGTTCACAGCCAAGTGTGGAAGACACACTTACAAACACATTATTCCAGTCCAATAGGGTTCATATGGTAATGGAGAAGTGATAAAAGTACCAGAGGGGTAAAGTCAGAGGGACAGCCATTAGTTGTTAGGGACAGCTGAGACAGAGAAGCCAAAGAAACCCAAATTTACTGCCTTCCAGTTGATTCTGACTCTTGGCAACCCAGAGAAGCAATTGTTTATCACCCAGAGGGGAGCAGAATGACCATTGACCTCAACTCTTCCATTCACTTCTTGCCTTGGCTCTTATGGTCTCCCAGATGTCCAGCCAGTCTCCAGGAGTGGCTTCATGCTCTCAGCCCCAGCGCCATTTTAATCAACCAATCATTGGCTGTAGTAGTGCCAAGGAATAGCTGGCAGTAGAGAAGGTGCTAGTTCTCCCTCTAAATCTCCACTGACATCTCTACCAGCTCCTAAGTCACCCCAAAGAAATCTGTAATATGAGGAAAAATTGTGTGCTTGCTGTCCAAACACAGCTTAAATGCAGTCTTCTACCTTTTCCCTACCATATTGTCCCCAAGTTCTTCCTTCCTAGAAGTTCTGAATGCCCCATTGTGTAAAGTCAAGTCCATTCTTCTTTATTCATATCAGGCAAGTTGGAAGCTTTCCAAGGTGGTCTACTGGGGAATTAAAGGGATTAAAAAAAATAGAAGGAAATACATAAAAAGAAGGAGAATAGAAGTGATTGCACATAGAGTGGGGAATTCAGAAAATGGACCCTAAGTTTTGGCTTCACACCTGGCATTCTTGCTCAGACAGATGATGGACCCTGGGAGTCTCTGTTGTCCCATGAGCAAATGATTTAGTCTCTTCTCCAAATGTAGCTATGGGTGGGGCTCAGAGGAGAGGTATGGTGTGATTTCCCTATATTCATCAAGTTCCCTCTCACTCTTAAGTCACTTCTGCTCTCTAAGCTGCAGGCAGTTGCTGTTGGACACACCGGCCAGTGACTCAGGTAGGAAGCCACTTTTGTTTGCTAGGACTTTCTTTGAGAGAGTGGGCTTAGTCTGACTATACTCTAGAAACACATCCACTTCTCTGGTGCCTGAGGATTTCTGTTAAATTAGCTTCAGACCTCCTCACCTGTGGACCCTGTGCTCCCCTCTGACTTCGTACATGGCTGCAGTTGGTGATAAGGTAGTCACAGCCTCCTCTCCTCCTCCTTTTATACCATTCCCTTTTGTGGGGCAGAGGCTTATAATTCCTAGTTTGATCTTTTGCTTTGCCCTAAGATTTTTTGTGTTCTGTAACAATGCAGATACTGGCAGAGAGAGGACATGCTACATTGTACGGATCTAAATGAACCTCAGGCCTGGAAGCAACCTACAGGTTAATTTACTGGGTACCCCTCAATTTCAGAAAGAAAACTGAAGCCTGAGACATAAAGGAACTTACCTAAGATCACACAGCTAATTATTGGTAGAGTCAGGATAGAATCAGAAATGGATATTTAAAAAAAAAAAAAAACCAAACCCACTGCCATCGAGTCAATTCTAACTCATAACGACCCCCATTGGGTTTCCTAGGTAGTAAATCTTTATGGAAATAGATTGCCCAGTCTTGCTTCCACACAGTGGCTCGTGGGTTTGAACTACCAGCCTTCTGGTTAGCAGTCAGATGCCTTAGGCACTGTGCTACAAGAGCTCTGGATTGGATACTAGGTATTCTTATTTCTAATCTGGGGATCTTTCCAAAGTTTTTCAGACCCAAGAGGACCCTGAGGGACTCTCTTTGGAGTTGTCTGTGTAGAGAGGGCAGCACACGCCTCCTCTGTAGCAGCTGAGCTTTTATCTCCTTTAAAGAATGGACTTCTGATAGGATTTTGTTTCAACAGTGTTTCACAATTAAAAAAAAAAAAAGAATATTTGAACATTCCTGAACTATTCTGTGGATGCTTAGAAGATGATTTCAAGGGCTAAGATGGGATTTCATCCTCTCAAATGCTTAAAATTCCTTTAGACAGAGGACCAAAATTTTTATTATTTATTTAGAGTCAAGGCTTAAAATATACATATAATGCAATTAGTTGCTATCATTTCTTTCCCCCAGAAGGTTTTGAGAAGGGTAAAGAAGATTCAGGAAGGACATAGGAGGGAAAATAACTTAGAAAGCAACCTCTGGGAACAGATTTGTCTCTTTTCGTTTTGCTTAATGCAGACCTTTCTCTAAATGCATACGACTGATCTGAATCCTCCCATCTGAATGTACAGCTGTGGTTGAGGATGGAGAAGGTCCAAGAGAGGGGACCAAGGTAGAGATGAGTCAGCTGTAGGAATGACCAAGGACAAAGGTTTTCTCCTGTATTCCATCTTCTCCCATACTCGGCCAAGCCCCAGATTTATGAGAGGTTGACACACTGTGAAGCCAATCTTTAAAGAAGTCCAAAGTGGAGGTGGGGCTGAGGGTGGGGTTTTCTGGCCATGAAATTAACAGAGAAGCTAAAGATACCCCAGTAACTGTTCTCACATCTTTGATAAGAGTGACTTGAATCTGAGTTACAGTCATATTTTTTTCCTTCTAATCTTTCAACTAGATCAAACCATGGCTGATGTCGCAGAAAACATATGGAATATTACTGATCTGTGGGACTGGCTTAATGAATTTTTAAATTCCACTGGCATGCCACCCACAGAAAAAGATCTTAGCCCCTGTAGCACAGAAACAGAGACACTCAACAAGTATGTTGTGGTTGCCATTTATGCCCTAGTATTCCTGCTGAGTCTGCTGGGCAATTCCCTGGTGATGCTGGTCATCTTATACAACCGGGCCACCTGCTCCGTCACAGATGTCTATCTGCTGAACCTGGCCATGGCTGACTTGTTTTTTGCCCTGACACTACCCTTCTGGGCTATCTCCAGGACAAATGGCTGGATTTTTGGCACACCATTATGCAAGGTGGTCTCGCTCCTGAAGGAAGTCAACTTCTACAGTGGTATCCTACTGCTGGGCTCCATCAGTGTGGATCGCTACCTGGCCATTGTCCATGCCACACGCACGTTGATCCAGAAGCGCCACTTGGTCAAATTCATATGTTTGGGCATCTGGGGACTGTCTCTGATTCTGTCCCTGCCTTTTTTCCTTTTCCGTAAGACCTATCATCCACCCTCTTCCAGCTTTGAAGTCTGCTATGAGGACATTGGTAACAACAATACAACAAAATGGAGGCTTGTGCTCCGGATCCTGCCCCAGACCTGTGGCTTCATCCTGCCACTGCTGGTCATGCTGTTCTGCTATGGATTCACCCTGCGCACACTGTTGGAGGCCCACATGAGGCAGAAGCACAAGGCCATGAGGGTCATCTTTGCTGTCGTGCTCGTCTTCTTATTCTGCTGGCTGCCCTACAACCTGGTTCTGTTCACAGACACTCTCATGAGGACTGGGGTGATCGAGGAGACCTGTGCGCGTCGGAAAGACATTGGCCGGGCGCTAGATGCCACTGAGATTCTGGGCTTTCTCCACAGCTGCCTCAACCCTCTCATCTACGCCTTCATTGGCCAGAATTTTCGCAATGGATTCCTCAAGATCCTGGCAACCCATGGCCTGGTCAGCAAGGATTTCTTGGCACGCCATCATATTACTTCTTACACTTCTTCCTCTGTCACTGTCTCTGCAAACCTCTGAAACTATCAAGGAAAGAATATCTCATCTTCATAAGGAAATGGTTACATCAGCCCAAAGGGCTGGCAGTCTGACCATGGAGAGATACTAACTGAGTTTTCAGGGAAGCTATATAGAATGTGTGGAAGTTAGGGATTGGTGTCTTCAAGGGCCAAGACCACTTTCTGTGAAAGTGCTGCAATACTTCTAAGAAAAGACCTTGACACTTTAATGAAAAGGAAGTGTCATGATGCTGAACTCCTGAATTTTTGACTTGCTTACTTGGTAATTAGCATGGTCACATATGAAACCAGAATCTTCTATTAGATTAAAGAACTAGCACTGAAGCTGTTTTCTCATGTGGTCTGGAATCTCTTGTTGGCCCTCTCCGAAATGCCACCTCAACCACTGAGCATGCTCCAACTTTTCCCGGTAGGCTGTTTGTCAGCTCTTTGTCCATGGATCAGAACTCATGGAACTATATTCTCATCTTGGGTATGTTGTCTGCTGGGGACATTGAGGCAGGTGCTACCTAAACATCAAACCACCAAGTGGCCTTGTGATACAACTGGAAAACATTTCCTCTCGGGAATGATGGGTGGACAAAGGGTGAGAGGGATTGGGAAAACAAACCTCTTGCAGGAGGATCCCCTTTGCCCCCATGACTAACATTGCATGCAGAATATGTTGGGTACCATTTTTGCATGAGACCATGCTGAGCCTTGTACAGAAAAAGATGAGCAGCTTTTAGCCCTTGCACTCTTGGAGCTTGCAGTCTGATATGGACCATCAGAAACCTCACAAACCCATATGCAGTCATCAATCAGCTGGACAGTCAGATTTTTCTAATAAATTTCTGTTCCATGTTTGCTCTTCTGGAAGAATCTTTGTTGTGATATAGAGTAAAGTTTTGGTGTGGCATTCTTGGCTGTTCCTGCAGTAGAATGAGGGCAGCACCCAAAGGAGAATCATCCCTCTGTGTTGACAGTGTTCCCTGGGGCTTTCACTCCTTCTAGAACAGTCTCTTGGGGCACAGAAGCTCCTACTCATCCCCATGTACCTCTGGCTGAGAAGGATCACTTTGCCCATAGATGAAATGCAATGTTCTTCTAGAGGTTCTCAGCTTCATCTTAATTTAAACATCATCTTCTGGTTTAGGCTTTTCCAGGATCCCTCAAATTACATTAGCTCCCTGCCCCTCCAAATGCCCACATGGGACCTTATACTTTCCCTTTGCAACACTCAGCACACTTCATTTTTTATTTCTATTTTTGCAGTGTCCCCTCCCTTCCCCTCCCATCCTTAGTAACTGACAAAGAAAGTTTCCTTCCATACATAAACATTCCCTTGACTTTTTACAATAATGAACTAATACAATATTTGTCCTGTGATTGACTTGTTTCATTTAGCATAATGTCCTCCAAGTTCATCCAGTTATGCGGTCAACAGACTTTATTGCATTTATTTCTTTGTCTGTTTTCCTTCCTTGAAAGCAAACCAAACCAGTTGCCATCCTGTTGATTTTAAGTCATGGTGACCCCATGAGTCAGGGTAGAACTATGCTCTATAGAGTTTCCAATAGCTGATGTTTCTAAAGTAGATGACCAGGCCTTTCTTCTGATACTTGAAGGCAGGAACCTTATATCCCTGGTGCCTGACACATTGCCTGGAGGCTATTAAATATGAAAGCCAAAACAAACAAACAAACAAACAAACAAACCCAAACCCACTCATCAAGTCAATTCCTACTCATAGCAACCCTATTAAACAGAGTAGAACTTCTCCATAGGGTTTCCAAAGTTTCAAATCATTACAGAAGAAGACTTCCTCCTCTTTCTCTATAGAGCACCTGGTGGGTTCAAACCACTGACCTTTGGTTGGCAGCAGAATGCCTTAACCACTGCACCATCAGGGCTCCTATTAAATGAGCAGTAAATATTTATTGGGAGCTCTGGTAGCATAGTGGCTAAGGCACTTGACTGCTAACCAGAAGGCTGGCAGTTCAAACCCACTAGCCACTCCTCGGAAGGTAGATGGGACAATCTACTTCCATAGTGATACTGCCTCGGAAACCCAAGGAGGGGTCGCTATGAGTCGGGTCCACTCGACGGCACATAACAACAGCAACAAATATTTATTGAGGTCTCTGAATGAACCAATGATTACTAAAAGGCTCTAACCCATTTATACACCATCAGCCCAAAACATCCTCTTATCTGTATTTCCCCCATTCCTCTTCCCCCTGTTGTCTTTGGAAACATATTCACTCATGGAGTTTGCCTTTGTGGTTTATCTTCATCAGATATTTATCAGTACAAAAAATGTTGCATGTGAGTACTGAAGAAGTCAGGGCTCTTTTGATTGCAAGTATCAGAAATGGAACTAAACCAATTGGAGCCCAAACTGAGAGTGTGTTGGTTTATGTGGGATGAGGAAGTAACAGAGATGACTTGAGACTGGGAATAGGATGACATACAGAGGTGGGGTTTAGATCAAGTGTGGGACTGAGATCAAAGATTGAGTGGAGTCAGAGTTGAGGTGGGTTACCAGGCATGGGATGACAGCTTGGGATAAGGTAGAGGTCAGGAAAAGATAATGTTAGAAATAGAGAGAGCTTCAGAAATAGGGAAAGGCTCAGAGATTGGGGAATGAGACTTGCAGGTGCAATGAGGGGTCAGAGACAGGAAGAGTCAAGATGGGGTTGGAGTCAAGTACAGAGTGAAGTTTAGGAATGGGATGAGTGTGGGGGTGTGCTGGGTCTCAGGGATAGGGTGTCAGAAATGGAGTGAATGTCAGGGATGGTTTGGCTTACAATGCTGGAACAAAAGGCCATCATTTGTAGGGTCACCATCCTCTCTGAAACATTGTCTAAGGTGCTCTTCTAGATCAAGAAGGGAGGCTCCTTGCCCTATTCAGCTTGAAGGTTTCCAGGTGGTTGATGAGGAAAGAGTGAGGGGATCAAGTGCTAAGAGATAGATGTGGTCCAGGAGAACAGATGAGAAGAATGCAGAGAGAATCCAGGCATAGGAAGGTAAACTGAGAACCTCCATTTTGTCTCCTCTCCTGCCCTAACGCCCCTCCACCTTTCCTGTTTACCTTAGCATCCATTTCTCTTTGCCCTATATGCCCCAAAGACAACTAACTCCACCAGGGACTTCATCAGGAGGTTAATAAGGTTGTGTATTGAGTTTGGTGCCTGAACAGGGACTTGAACCCTGGACCCTCAGACCCACAACTTGTCTGTCATTTTGTTGCACTGTGGTGGCTTGCATGTTGCTGTGATGCTGGAAGTTATGCCACCTGTATTTCAAATATAAGCAGGGTCATCCAAGGTGGACAGGTTTCAGTGGAGTTTCCAGACTAAGACAAACTAGGAAGAAGGAAGAGGCGGTCCACTTCTGAAAAAATTAGTCACGGAAAACCTTATGAGTAGCAGTGAAATGTCTGGTATAGTGCCAAAGACCTACGAGGTGAATAATTACATCAGGGAGATGCACTCCTTAGAACAATCAACCACGGAAGATCGGAAGGGCAGCAGTTGCACAGGGAGGAAGATCAGAAGGCAGGAATGCACAATAAAGGTAAACATAAGGAGGAATGCATAGGTCATCACAGAACGAATAAAGAAAGAAGATGTGATTACGGTGCACCTAACCCAAACCATTGTAGCCTCATATGCATGTGAAAGTCAGACAATGAATAAGGAAGACCACACAAGAATGATGCATTTGAATTGTGGTGTTGGCGAAGAATATTGAAAATACCATGGATTGCCAGAAGAAAGAACAAATCTCTCTTGGACGAAGGACAGCTCTTTAAAAGTGAAAATGGTCAGATTTCATTCTCATACTTTGATGATGTTGTCAAGAAAGACTAGTTCCTAGAGAAGGATATCATGCTTGGTAAAGTAGCGAGGGTCAGTGAAAAAGGGAAAGACCCTCAACAAGATGGATTGACACAGTGGCTGTGATGATGGGCTCAAGCATAGCAGCAATTGGGAGGATGGTGCAGGACCAGGCCGTGTTTCGTTCTGTTGTACATCAGGTTGCTATGAGTCGGAACCGACTAGATGACACCTAACAACAACAACAACAACAATAACATTGGGTCTGGAGGAAATAGCAAAACCAAACAGAACCCACTGCCATCAAGTTGATTCAGATTCACGACTCCATGTGTTCCAGAGCAGAACTGTTCCATAGGGTTTTCTTGGCTGCATACTTTACAGAAGGATCCCTGGTGACACAGATGTGAAAAATCTGTGGAGCAGTTCTACTCTGGAATACATGAGGTCACCATTAGTTGGGGAACAACTGGACAGCAGTTAGTAACAACAATCTTTACGGAAGCAGATTGACAGGTCTGTTTTCCAAGGCCCTGATGACTGGGTTTGAACAACCAGCTTTTAGGTTCGTGTTGTTGTTAGGTGCTGTCAAGTTGTTTCAGACTCATAGTGAAACCCTGCCCAGTCCTGTTCCATCCTCACAATTGTTGCCATATTTGAGCCCATTGTTGCAGCCACTGTGTCAATCCACTTCATTGAGGGTCGTCTTCTTTTTTGCAGAATCTCTACTTAACCCAGCATGATGTCCTTCTCTAGGGACTGGCTCCTCCTGGTAACATGTCCCAAGTACATGAGATGAAGCCTTGCCATCTTCTCTTCTAAGGGGCATTCTGGATATACTTCTTCCAAGACGGATTTATTTGTTCTTCTGACAGTCTATGGCATAGACTTTACCAACGTCATAATTCAAATGCATCAAATCTTCTTTGGTCTTCCTTATTCATTGTCCAGTTTTCACATGCATTTAAGGAGATTGAAAAGACAATGGCTTGTGTCAAGAGCACCTTAATCCTCAAAATGACATCTTTACTTTTGAATACTTTATAAAGGTCTTTTGCAGCAGATTTGCCCAATGCAATATGTTGTTTAATTTCTTTTTCTTTCTTTCTTTTTTTTTGTTGTTTGATTTCTTGACTGTTGCTACCATTGGCATTGATTATGGATCCAAGTAAAATGAAAT